ACCTCCCTTCTTCAGATGCAAGTAATGGAAATTTCCATTACTTGCATCTGAAGAAGGGAGGTTCTTACCCAGGAAAGCTTATGCTCCCAATACTTCTGTTAGTCTTAAAGGTGCCACAGGACCCTCTGTTGCTTTTTAATTTGAAAGGGACCGTCAGCTATTCCCATTATACACAATTATATATCTCAGGTATTCTGTTCTCACGGGTTGAAAACAACAGGTTTTATTGACAATAAGATGGAAATACAATGTTACAATTACAAATATCCCTTAACGTGCAACAAAAACGTGCCTGTGATATCATGGTTCTTCAAATCTCTATTTGAAGGGGAGTAAGGAAACTATAGGAGGCTCTGAATAATTCACAGGAAATGTGTACAACGCTTGGTGTTTTCATATTTGTATATCTTTGTGAGTCCCTGACACCAATAGACTTGCTTCATTCTGACAAAGAAAACTGTGACTGCGCACTCTAGTTATAAAGCTAAATGGCACATCGGGATTTCAATAGCACCGTGATCTTTATGTAAAATGGATAAGGAACTGTCCGCATTAAAACAACGTAATCGAAAACTCATATGAGTTTATTTCTAATATAAACATCACTCGGTATACATAGCGCTAGAGATTTAAACTAACAGATTAAAAGGCGGATTTTTAAATCATTGTCTGCAGTTATTGGTTGAGACTCTGAGCGCCGCTGTTGACCTATCAGGTGGAGAAACGCGATGAGAGATCCAGCCAGCCCAGCCCCGCAGTTACACAGCGCAAAACACTGAGAGATTACACTCACTCAGAGGGATTGTAAAGGGAACACGGCTGCAGGAATTTTATATAAAACAGCCTTGGTTAAAACATCAGTGGCTGCGGAAACAAAGGATTAAAGATAAGCGAAAATACTCTCAGCCGTGACCCAGGAATCGGAGTTCCATACCCATCGGAAGAGAAATGGCAGATACACAAAGGTTCCGGGTCTGCAAAAAGAGAGTCCAGTTCTATTTTATGTTGGCTACTGTTTGGGAGGCGGTTTCTGGGCAAATTCGCTATTCGATTCCCGAGGAAATGCAGAAAGGCTCCATTGTGGGGAATATCGCAAAGGATCTGGGACTGGATATAAAGGAGCTAACACACCACGAAGTCCGCATTGTTTCCACAGGTAGGACTCAGTATTTTGCTTTGAATCTTAAGAGCGGCCATTTAATCACCACAGAAAGGATAGACAGAGAACAGATATGTGGCCGGATCGAGAAGTGTCTCTTAATTTTTGAGGTTCTTATTGAGGATAAAGTGAAGCTTTTCGCAGTTGAAGTTGAAATCACAGATATTAATGACAATGCTCCCACCTTCCAAGCGAATGAGCTAGAGTTAAAAATTAGTGAGATTACAGCTGTGGGGACCCGGGTTTCCCTGCAGGAGGCGCAGGATCCAGATGTGGGAATTAATTCCATCCAGAGCTATCAACTGAGCAATAACAAACACTTTTCTCTGGATGTGCAAACTGGATCTGATGGTGTTACATATGCGGAACTAGTGCTGGAAAAGTCTCTGGACCGGGAAACGCAGACTGTCCATAAATTAACTCTCACAGCAGCTGACGGGGGAGATCCAGTCAGATCTGCCATTGCTCAGATCCGTGTTGTGGTTGTGGATGCCAATGACAATGCACCGCTTTTTACTCAGCCGGTCTATAAAGTGGGTGTTTTGGAAAACGCGCCTCCAGGGTCCTTGATAATTACAATACACGCCACTGACCGGGATGAGGGACAGAATTCTGAGGTGACCTTTTCATTTAGAAAAATTACAGAAAAGGCGTCTCAGATATTCCAGCTTCACCCTAGGACAGGAGAAATATCAACGATAGGTGACCTGGACTACGAGGAAGCTGCATTATATGAAATGGAAGTGGAGGCAAAGGATATTGGAGATCTCTCCGCCAGGTGCAAAGTTCTGATAACGGTTATTGATGTCAATGATAATACCCCGAAAATTGCAATCACTTCCCTGTTCAACTCAGTCTCTGAAGATTCTCCCCCCGGAACAGTAATCTCGATATTAAATTTGCAAGATGGAGATTCCGGACAGAATGGTGAGGTCACGTGCTCCATACCAGCCAACCTTCCATTCCGGTTACAGAAGTCATTTGACAATTACTATAGTTTGGTGACTGACACATCACTGGACAGGGAGCGGGTCTCGAATTACAGTGTAACTATCACAGCCACAGACCGAGGGATCCCTCCTTTATCATCAACAGCAACAATTTTAGTACAGCTTTCAGACATAAACGACAACGCTCCTATCTTCAACCAGCCATCTTACACTTTGTACATCACAGAGAACAATCCCAGAGGAGCTTCCGTTTGTTCCCTGAAAGCAAATGATTCCGACTTGGAGGAGAACGCCCGAGTCACCTACTCTATTAATGAAGGACATATAAATGAAGCTCCGCTATCCTCCATCTCCATCAACTCCGAGACTGGGGCTGTCTACGCTTTGCGCTCCTTCGATTACGAACAGTTCCGGGAGATTCGGTTCCAAGTGCAGGCTCAGGATGGGGGTTCCCCACCTCTCAGCAGTAATGTCTCCGTCACTCTCTTTATACTGGATCAGAATGACAATACCCCGCACATCTTACACCCCTCCTTTCCCACCGATGGCTCCACGGGAGTGGAGTTGGCCCCTCGCTCCTCCGAGCCGGGTTACCTGGTCACTAAGGTGGTGGCGGTGGATGCAGACTCCGGTCAGAACGCCTGGCTCTCCTACCAGCTGCTGAAGGTCACAGAGCCGGGGCTCTTCTCTGTGGGACTCCACAGCGGCGAGATCAGGACAGCGCGCTACTTTGTAGACAAAGATGCGCTCAAGCAAAGTCTGGTGGTTTTAGTGAAGGACAACGGGCAGCCCCCTCTCTCTGCCACGGCCACTGTCACGGTGGTGGTGGCTGACAGCATCCCCGAAATCCTCTCCGATTTAAGCAGCCTCTCAGCTCCTGCAGACCCCCAGTCCAGCCTCACCTTGTATTTGGTGATCGCTGTGGCTTCCGTTTCCTGCTTGTTCTTTACCTTTATCATAGTGTTACTGGCCCTGAGGCTCCGCCGGTGGAGAAACTCGCAGCTGTTTGACTCCTCGAGTGTGACTTTCAGTGGAGTTCCGGCCTCGCAGTTTGTGGGGCTCGATGGAGTCAGAGCTTTTCTTCACTCCTACTCACATGAGGTTTCTCTCACCACGGACTCCAGAAAGAGCCAGTTCAACTTTCCCAAATCAAACTATTCAAATACTCTGAGTAGTGAGCAAACTTGTGAGATAAAGGATCCTATTCTAGTTACTGAAGATTTAAACATTAGTAACGGGGATCAGACCTCCATTCAGGTGAGCTAACATAATCGGTCTTTTTGCTATTAGTTTATAGTATAGAAATTTAGTCTTCCTCGTGGACTGTGCAATTAGTTGAAAAGTACGGATTAAAGAGGACTGAATTTGCATTAGTGAGGTTAGTGTGAGTTCTGCCATTGACTTCAATAAGTGTAGCATCAAGCCCTCTGTGACTGAGAAAATACAGTGTACATATGGCTTGCTCTAGGGGAGGAGGGTATTATTGTGTCTTGATTACTTATGAATGTACCAAATTCAGGGTCCATTTTGGTCAATCTCAGGGTCATAGGATTTTTAAAATAGTAAATTTCATGATTTCAGCTATTTAAATCTGAAATTTCATGGTGTTGTAATAGTAGGGGTCCTGACCAAAAAAGGAGTTGTGTGGCAGAGGGGTCACAAGATTATTGTAGGGGGGGTTGTGGTACTGCTACCCTTACTTCTGTGCTGCTGCTGGCAGCGCTGCCTTCAGAGCTGCGCAGCTGGTGAATGGTGGCTGCTGGCTGGCAGCCCAGCTCTGAAGGTAGAGCAGCCACCAGCAGCAGCACAGAAGTAAGGATGTCATGGTGTGGTATTGCCACCCTTACTTCTGCACTGCTGTCTGCAGAGTTGGGCCCTCAGTCACTCTCTGGCCACCCAGCTCTGAAGGCAGCAGTGCAGAAATAAGGGTGGCATGGTATGTTATTGCCACCCTTACTTCTGTGCTGCTGCTGGCAGGGCATTGCCTTCAGAGCTGGGTGTCCGGCCAACAGCCGCCACTCTCCAGTGGCCCAGCTCTGAGGGCAGCACAGAAGTAAGAACAACAATACTGCAACTCTCCCTACAACTCCCTTTTGGGTCAGGACACCCAATTTCTCCCCCATGAAATCAGTATATAGGGTGAAAGCACACAAAAGACCAGATTTCATAGGGGGAGACCAGATTTCATGGTCCATGACGTGTTTTTCATAGCCATGAATTTGGCACAAACATCCTTTTCCTTTCTTATTTTAAATGAAATTAC